GTCCAGCAGTCCTTGGGGAATGATAATATGTGTCACTTAGAAGTAATGCTGAACTCTGATATAGACTTGTTGACGATTTTCTGATTTTTCTCCGATATTATTCATGATGATTTTGTCCCAAGTAGGACCAGCTCAGCTGCGAAAGAAGTGTTGAGATGTTGGAAATATTGCAACGATTTGAAGAATATTAAAACTTTGAAGATTCGGAAATAATAGTCACAATTTTTACACATTTTTCAGAATTTTGACGATTATTTGATTTCTTGGAAGGTCGAAAACCCACCCACCGGTAGGTATGTCGCAAGAGCAAACGAGAAACTTCAAATAGGCTAATTCATTGCCAAATCCATCGTCGGAATCCTGGGGAAACAAAAGAAAACACGTGAGAAGAGAAATCATGTTATTCATGACAATCAAATGAAATCATTGAATTAAATAATTGTTGTTGATTTCATATTATAGGTTCGATAAAACCATACATGTTCTAAAAATCTTTTACATCACATTTCAGAATCATATTGGCCTAAAACCGCCCCAAACATGGCCATTTGACCAAGAATTTTATTTGCGGACAGTGAAAAGTCATGGAGATTCTCAATGTCCGCAAATAAAAAAATTTTGTTAAAAAAATAGAGGGGCACCACTGGCCCCAAAAATTACCAGACATGCTCTAAAAATTATTTACATCACATTCCAGAATCATCTTGGCCTAAAACCGCCCCAAACATGGCCATTTGGCCAAGAATTTCATTTGCGGACAGTGAAAAGTCATGGAGATTCTCAATGTCCGCAAATAAAAAAATTTTGTTAAAAAAATAGAGGGGCACCACTGGCACCAAAAATTACCAGACATGCTCTAAAAATTATTTACATCACATTCCAGAAGTATCTCAGTCCAATCCCACCCCAAACCTGGCCATTTGGCCAAGAATTTTATTTGCGGACAGTGAAAAGTCATGGAGATTCTCAATGTCCGCAAATAAAAAAATTTTGTTAAAAAAATAGAGGGGCACCACTGGCCCCAAAAATTACCAGACATCCTCTAAAAATCCTTAACATCACATTTCAGAATCATCTTGGCCTAAAACCGCCCCAAACATGGCCATTTGGCCAAGAATTTTATTTGCGGACAGTGAAAAGTCATGGAGATTCTCAATGTCCGCAAATAAAAAAATTTTGTTAAAAAAAATAGAGGGGCACCACTGGCCCCAAAAATTACCAGACATGCTCTAAAAATCCTTTACACCACATTCCAGTAGTATCTCAGTCCAATCCCGCCCCAAACATGGCCATTTGGCCAAGAATTTTATTTGCGGACAGTGAAAAGTCATGGAGATTCTCAATGTCCGCAAATAAAAAAATTTTGTTAAAAAAATAGAGGGGCACCACTGGCACCAAAAATTACCAGACATGCTCTAAAAATTATTTACATCACATTCCAGAAGTATCTCAGTCCAATCCCACCCCAAACCTGGCCATTTGGCCAAGAATTTCATTTGCGGACAGTGAAAAGTCATGGAGATTCTCAATGTCCGCAAATAAAAAAATTTTGTTAAAAAAAATAGAGGGGCACCACTGGCACCAAAAATTACCAGACATGCTCTAAAAATCCTTTACACCACATTCCAGTAGTATCTCAGTCCAATCCCGCCCCAAACATGGCCATTTGGCCAAGAATTTCATTTGCGGACAGTGAAAAGTCATGGAGATTCTCAATGTCCGCAAATAAAAAAATTTTGTTAAAAAAAAATAGAGGGGCACCACTGGCCCCAAAAATTACCAGACATGCTCTAAAAATCCTTTACACCACATTCCAGTAGTATCTCAGTCCAATCCCGCCCCAAACATGGCCATTTGGCCAAGAATTTCATTTGCGGACAGTGAAAAGTCATGGAGATTCTCAATGTCCGCAAATAAAAAAATTTTGTTAAAAAAAAAATAGAGGGGCACCACTGGCCCCAAAAATTACCAGACATGCTCTAAAAATCCTTTACACCACATTCCAGTAGTATCTCAGTCCAATCCCGCCCCAAACATGGCCATTTGGCCAAGAATTTCATTTGCGGACAGTGAAAAGTCATGGAGATTCTCAATGTCCGCAAATAAAAAAATTTTGTTAAAAAAATAGAGGGGCACCACTGGCACCAAAAATTACCAGACATGCTCTAAAAATCCTTTACACCACATTCCAGTAGTATCTCAGTCCAATCCCGCCCCAAACATGGCCATTTGGCCAAGAATTTTATTTGCGGACAGTGAAAAGTCATGGAGATTCTCAATGTCCGCAAATAAAAAAATTTTGTTAAAAAAAAAATAGAGGGGCACCACTGGCCCCAAAAATTACCAGACATGCTCTAAAAATTATTTACATCACATTCCAGAATCATCTTGGCCTAAAACCGCCCCAAACATGGCCATTTGGCCAAGAATTTCATTTGCGGACAGTGAAAAGTCATGGAGATTCTCAATGTCCGCAAATAAAAAAATTTTGTTAAAAAAAATAGAGGGGCACCACTGGCACCAAAAATTACCAGACATGCTCTAAAAATTATTTACATCACATTCCAGAAGTATCTCAGTCCAATCCCACCCCAAACCTGGCCATTTGGCCAAGAATTTTATTTGCGGACAGTGAAAAGTCATGGAGATTCTCAATGTCCGCAAATAAAAAAATTTTGTTAAAAAAAATAGAGGGGCACCACTGGCCCCAAAAATTACCAGACATCCTCTAAAAATCCTTAACATCACATTTCAGAATCATCTTGGCCTAAAACCGCCCCAAACATGGCCATTTGGCCAAGAATTTTATTTGCGGACAGTGAAAAGTCATGGAGATTCTCAATGTCCGCAAATAAAAAAATTTTGTTAAAAAAATAGAGGGGCACCACTGGCCCCAAAAATTACCAGACATGCTCTAAAAATCCTTTACACCACATTCCAGTAGTATCTCAGTCCAATCCCGCCCCAAACATGGCCATTTGGCCAAGAATTTTATTTGCGGACAGTGAAAAGTCATGGAGATTCTCAATGTCCGCAAATAAAAAAATTTTGTTAAAAAAAAATAGAGGGGCACCACTGGCCCCAAAAATTACCAGACATGCTCTAAAAATCCTTTACACCACATTCCAGTAGTATCTCAGTCCAATCCCGCCCCAAACATGGCCATTTGGCCAAGAATTTTATTTGCGGACAGTGAAAAGTCATGGAGATTCTCAATGTCCGCAAATAAAAAAATTTTGTTAAAAAAAATAGAGGGGCACCACTGGCACCAAAAATTACCAGACATGCTCTAAAAATTATTTACATCACATTCCAGAAGTATCTCAGTCCAATCCCACCCCAAACCTGGCCATTTGGCCAAGAATTTTATTTGCGGACAGTGAAAAGTCATGGAGATTCTCAATGTCCGCAAATAAAAAAATTTTGTTAAAAAAAAATAGAGGGGCACCACTGGCCCCAAAAATTACCAGACATGCTCTAAAAATCCTTTACACCACATTCCAGTAGTATCTCAGTCCAATCCCGCCCCAAACATGGCCATTTGGCCAAGAATTTCATTTGCGGACAGTGAAAAGTCATGGAGATTCTCAATGTCCGCAAATAAAAAAATTTTGTTAAAAAAAATAGAGGGGCACCACTGGCACCAAAAATTACCAGACATGCTCTAAAAATCCTTTACACCACATTCCAGTAGTATCTCAGTCCAATCCCGCCCCAAACATGGCCATTTGGCCAAGAATTTTATTTGCGGACAGTGAAAAGTCATGGAGATTCTCAATGTCCGCAAATAAAAAAATTTTGTTAAAAAAAAATAGAGGGGCACCACTGGCACCAAAAATTACCAGACATGCTCTAAAAATTATTTACATCACATTCCAGAAGTATCTCAGTCCAATCCCACCCCAAACCTGGCCATTTGGCCAAGAATTTCATTTGCGGACAGTGAAAAGTCATGGAGATTCTCAATGTCCGCAAATAAAAAAATTTTGTTAAAAAAAATAGAGGGGCACCACTGGCACCAAAAATTACCAGACATGCTCTAAAAATCCTTTACACCACATTCCAGTAGTATCTCAGTCCAATCCCGCCCCAAACATGGCCATTTGGCCAAGAATTTCATTTGCGGACAGTGAAAAGTCATGGAGATTCTCAATGTCCGCAAATAAAAAAATTTTGTTAAAAAAAAAATAGAGGGGCACCACTGGCCCCAAAAATTACCAGACATGCTCTAAAAATCCTGTAAATTACATTCCAGTAGTATGCAACATCACACCCTGAATTTTGAATATTATTGGTATCAAGTGCAACATCACACCCCGAATTTTGAATATTATTGATATCAAGTGCAATATGGCAACCCCAATTTTAAATAATATTGATACCTACTGCAATATCGCAGCCCTAATTTTGAATATTATTGCTATCAAGTGCAACATCACACCTCAAATTTTGAATATTATTGATGTCAAGTGTAATGTGGCAGTCAGAAGTGTCAAAAAAGGCCTTGCCAGGTGTTTAGAACAAGTTGTTTTGAATGCGGACATCAAAAATTTTATTTGCGGACAGTAGAAGTGCGGACAGAAAAAAATTCTCAATTGCGGACAGTGAGAAGTCGATTTGCGGACAGCGAAAAGACGAAACGCGGACAACAAAAAATAGTTCCAAAAATAAGCCATTTGGGCCCCCAAAAATAGTTCTAACAACTTCAATAATAAACAAACAACAGAAATTGCAATTTTTTGCACTATAAGAACTCATAAATAATATAGCAAAATGTCCCACTTGAGAAAACAGCTCCCAGAGGTCCTTAACAAACTTTATTTCGATAGGCAAGACTTGTTTTCGGCCAAGAAGCATCCGTTTTCTCACCTTTCTTCCTTCGTATAAAATGTCACTCAACGTTTGCACGGACGAAAACTTATCTTCGGGCGCAGCTCGAGAATTTTATTTTCTTTTATTTTTATTTTTTCGGTGGCAAATTCATCATAGTTGGTGTAGTTATGACTCTAGTCTTCTCTGTGCTTTGTTTCTCGATTGCCTTTGCACCGTCGTTGGCTATTTTTATCAAACTTGTTACACATGATGCTTTACGAGTAATATTGTTCTTCCTAGGGTGAGTTTTTTATGTGTTCTTGAGTTAAACAGGATCGTGAAGATGTATTTGACATGATAAGAACATTTACGTTCATCTGAGGAGCCCTGTGACGCTTTTATGAAAATTGTTTATGTTACACTGGATGCCTAATTGAAAAATCTTCTCGTTGCAGCTCATTTTTCTGGTTATTATCAATTCTGCTGTCCGGTGCTATTGCCTTCGTCCTTCCAAGCATAGTTCCAGCTGTTTTTCTCTCCGCATTAATTCAGGAGTCCGCCAGGGCCGGCTATTTTCTCCTTCTTCATCGAGCTCAGCGGTCTCTGGCAGAGGTTGCAACTGGCCGCTTCTCTAGTCTGAAGACCTCTCTGGCCCACCGGCATGTCCTGGCGGTGGTTTGTGGACTGGGGTTCGGCGTTACGGCCGCCCTGTTTTTGTTGGTCAACGTTTTGGCAGATTATTCTGGACATGGAGTTGTTGGACTGCCGGCTAGTGTTCCTGAGGTAATATTTTCTCACTGTTTTTTGTTTCTGATTTTAGATTATGAGTTAAAGAAGGGTATGAGACAGTTTTTTGCCCTTTAAGCGGGCTATTTTGGACGACAACCAACAATTTTTTCATCTGTAGTCTAAAACGACATTATCGTCAATATTTATCTATTTTGCAATTTCAACACCTGAAGTTTATATTTTCAGATAGCCAAGAACCTACCAATCAAGTTGACGAATGAGGACGCTGGGTTTCCGCTGAGTTACTCTCTCAGCAACTCGATTCTTGTCCTAGACCATATCGCCTGGAATATTGTTCTTTGGGATGCTTGCCACAACCGAGCCAATCGTCTTAGCCGGAACTGGATGGTCGGTGCAGCTTGTCCAGTCATTCTTCACCTCATCAACAATGCTATTTCACTGGCGCCGGACCATCTTCGGGTCTTCATCATCCTGTCTCAAGCTCTGGTTCTTCTCCTCAGCAGTGCCCACGCTTACTTGGTGGTGAAAAAACCTGTCCAGTTTCGCGGTTTGGCTACCTTCCTTGGTGTCGCTGTTGCACCCGAAATGCATTCGGATTGACCACAATACCCAAGATTAATATGATGTGTAATATCAAAAATAACTTATTATGGCCTAGTGGAATGTGAATGTTGTTCGATCTCACAATAAATTATCAATATATTTCATTTATTATATAAAGCTCTAAGACGTCTGTTCGCGCTATACATGGAAAGAAGTTTATAAAAGCTGTTGGAAACATTTCGAAACAACCCGAATGGATGGAAAAATAAATATTTGAAGGTGGCTGGGACCACACACATTACATTATATCAAAAACACTCCAATACTTTTTGAAAATCATCATAATTTTGGCAATTTTCCATCTCCTCACCTAGTATAATATAACTTGGATCCCAGACCTCTCGAAACATGCGCCAACTCCAAACCCTAGACAAGATTCAAACCGTAGGAGCATAAGGAACATAAAAGACGTTCTTTTTCGGGAATATGGTTTCTGATTTGGATAAAATCTCTCAAAATTCACTAACATAACATGTACAATATCAGAGAACTCGATTTTTTCCGTTTTCAGTTGACTTTGGCGTATGATGGAGGTGAGAATTTCCTCCTCAAGAATTTGATGACGTATAGCGGTGCACATGAGATGAGTGTGATAGCTGTTGTTTTGGTTATGAACACCCAGGAGAGGACGAACTGGCGGTCGAAAAACTTGTCCAAAATCAACAACGACGCTCCATACAGGGCCAGGGAGAGTGCCTGTGCGACCAGCATGGCCCAGTGCCAAGTGTGAACCGTCATGGCGACCATGATGAGTTCGGTGACGATCAGGGCCGAGAACGAAATCGAGACCACATGGATAAAGTCCGAATCGAAGGCCACCAGTGCTCCGTACATGATGATAGACCCTAAAAAGATGGTTCATCCTAAACGAAGCTCAATTCCCACCTTGATATATGCTGATTAGCACCCAGATGCAAAAGGTTTTATACGAAAGGGACCTTCCTTTGCCAAGTTCCTTATATAATTCCGGATATGTTAGTGCATTTTCCGCGGTGACATCGCGATCCACGACCAGGGAGAAGACTGGGAGCATAGTGTAGGCTGTGGAATATCTGAAATCAAATTGTATAAACTTTTATCAACTTTTTTTCAAAAGTCATCAAAAAATGCCATGGATAATATAAAAAGCGGCTTCAAAACCCTTTCATATGGCTTCAAATTTCAAATTTTTGATTTAGAAAACTTACTACATCATTTCCTTAGTCTTCGCGACCTTACCCCGAAAATTTCCGACACCTGCAACATTATGCCAAAAATTGCGAAAATTCAAATTTTCCCAATACAGAACTCTTCAAAATTAAAAATCTAGCTACATATCTTCCTATCAGCCCTATATCTACTACAAATTATCATAAATCCACTCAAAAATCACCAAAACACTTACGCGACCATCAAAACTCCTTGATAAAGCGAAACCGAAGCGAAATAAAAGACACACGAGAAGATGGCTTGCATGGTGGAGATGATCAGACCTCTGTGCATGACGAATTGGGATAAGGCGCAAGATCTCTTGTAGCAGAATCGTCCATGAACCAACAGTAAGCGGCAAATGTGGCTGAACTGGGTGATGGAGAAATCAGCGGCCAGGGAGGCTTGCTTTCCTGGAAAAAAACGGTCAGTTGCAGTAAGCACGAACTCCAATTGAGATGATTAACAAGTTTGGAAACAGAAGAAAACAAAAATTTTTTTTACATTCCAAGAGCAAAAATTGGCCATGGGAAATGTCATATGGCCAGAAAATTGGCCATGGGCTTAAACATGTCTTACTAGGCTTACAAATCCTAACTTGAACAGACTTATCAATTTCATAACTTTACCAATCTTTATAACGAAAGCAGGATTTGGCGAGAATTCAAATCAAAAATTTTTTCACACCACGAATAAACAGTCCCTAAGTTTATTCCGGTAAGCCCTAACATTCTATTCTGCTCCTCATTCTACCTTCAATTCCCCATTTCAATCTTTTTTCCACAAATTTTTATCTTCACCTACCTTCAGATATCAAAAAAGTTCAAAAATTCAAAATTTATCAAATTTTTTTTCCTCCAATTCACTGCCTCTCCCTATTTGTCCCAATCTTACTTTCTAGCCCTAAGTTCCCCCAAACAAACACCAATATCCATCTTTTCCACTATATTTTATCTTCACCTACCTTCAGCTATCAAAAAAGTTCAAAAATTCAAATTTTATCAAATTTTCTTTCCTCCAATTCATTTTTTCTCCCTCCAGCAATCCCAATCTTACTTTCTAGCCCTCAATCTCCCCAAACAAACACCAATATCCAACCTTTTTCCACCCTATTTCACCTCCACCTACCTTCATGTGCGTCAATTCCAATTCCAGCATGAGCAGCTTGAATCATCGAGACGTCGTTGCCTCCATCGCCGATTGCCGCCACCCTCAACGGTTTTCTGTACCTTTTCAGGAGATTTACAATCTGCGCCTTCTGTTCTGGCGAGCAACGGCAACAAACGACGGCCGAGCAATTGCAGACCAATTCCGCGACTTCGGCTTCGTAGTACTGCAGGCAAACATTCAATGCGGAGCCGGACATGACCAAGGCGACATCGTTCTTCTTTCTCAGGGCGTTCAGTTCGTTGTGGGCTTTGATTCGATCATTCACATTGCCAAAAACATGGATGTTATCGGACTTGGAAAAGAGTCCGGAGGATTTCGCGATACAAATCGCGGTCTCCAACTTGTCTCCGGTTAACATCCAGACTTTGATTCCGGCGTTTCTTAGGAGTTCCAACGAGGTCGTTACTTCATCCTGAAAATTGAAACTTTTTAGGTATTCAAAAAATATTTTAGATCAAACTTTGAACAAAAGTTGTTTTAAAAGACCTAATCAGTAATAAAAAATCCGAAAAAGATATATATTTCAACTTCTCAGTGCCCTACAGCATCAAATTGAAAAGTCTATTTCCAAGGGAAAAACTTGACCCAAAACTGAAATTTTTGCAGAATTCAATCCCAATTTTCGTTTTAAAAAGTTTTTTATGTGCTTTTAAGACTCTTCAGATCCTACGTGAGTAATTAACCATAAAATTTAGACTTTCACGGACAAATTTTCATTCGAAGGGAAAACATGACCCAAAAAAGGAAAAACATTGTCCTCACATTCAGAAATCACCACTCTTCTCCACTAACGTTCTTTACAACCCACAGCCGTACTTAAAAAATATAAATCTCATCAAAAAACACAAAAAATCTTTTAGTCACCCCTTGCCATAGCCCCCAAAAAATCAACTCTTACCCAGAACAATCTTTACCTAACACCAACATATCATTCCACACAACTTTATCGACCCAAACCTTCAAAAATAATACCAAATTTTACCTGTAATCGATCCTCGACTCCAGTCAGACACAACAAATGCAGATCAGTTTCCAATTTCTGAACGACGGCGGCCATGTTTTCCGCCCGATCTTTGATGGTCAATTTGGCTTGATGGTACTGTTTTTCGAATTCATTTAGCTGTTCTTGACTCAAAATCTTCTTGGCCACCACCAAAGTTCTGAGACCTTCTCTGGCCATATTTGAGCATTCCTCGTCCAGCCAGTCGTTGTACATGACCATTTGAGACATAACAGTGTCAGCTCCCTTCATGATAAACGAGATTTCATCGGTGGTTTCGTCCTGAAATACAAGTTTCGTTATAAAAATTAATTTTTTTCTCAAAAATTATGAAAATTTCCAAAAACCAAAAATTCATCATGTTACAGTAGTCCTACAGAATTAAAGTCAATTACAAACTTGTTCCTTATGCTCTACAGTACTCATATACAAAGTTACAAAAACTTCTCATAACTCTTATAAATTATATTACCCATCTTTTACCCAAAAATAAAATTTCCAAAAAATCCGTCATCATGACATATTTTTCAAAAAATATTTTGCAACACACTCTGTCATGCCCACCACATATTCCAACCCCAAAAACACCATTCCCACCTTCCAAATTTTGACCTTATACATGATAATCTCCTTACCTTAATAATGATTCCCATTCTCTTGGTTTCCGATGTGAATGGGAACAAATGCAGGATCTGGAAGCTCTTAGTATTCCCATTGTCCAGTAAGAGTTGCATTGAGGTCAGATCACGATTCGCCAGTTTAACGCCCACTTGTTCCGTCCACTGTACCAGGGCAACCTAAAACAATATAATTAAACCTCCAAATCCTATCCAAGTTCTCCAAATCTCCTCCTAAAATCCTACCTCGTCCGGACTGGCGGCCTGATACGATAATTGGCCATTTTCAATGATCGGGGTGACATTGTGACACAGTGCGATCGCTTCGATGGCTGTCTGCAACTTCACCGAAAACGAGTTCTTCGCCAATTTCCCGGCGTATGCCGACGCAATATGAGTGCTGACATCGCTGAAGGCATCGCAGCCGAAACTGACCGTGCCCAGATGGATTTTTTTGAATCTCATTTGGTTCATGGTTAATGTGCCGGTCTTGTCCGAAAGTAGGTACGAAATCCTTCCCAATTCCTCTGGGATGGTGCTGGACCTGACAACCGTGTCCGGTATTCTCTTATCTCTTCCAATTTGCCAGGAATAAAACAATTTCGCCATGTCCAAATTGACTCGCAACGAGATGGGGATGATATAAGAGAACAACAAGACAAATCTCATCAGATATCGGTACCAATTCGCGTCTACTCCCTTCATCACGACCATGGAGGCAGCCAAGAGGATCACAAAGGTGAACAGGATCTTTGTGAGGTTATTGACTTCAATATCCAACAATCCGACCTTGCTCTCGGGCAAGGTGTTGTTCATGACAGACCTCGTTTCATGGCCGGTGTAGACGACCAGTCCAATTGCAGTGCCGCTAGCTAGGACCGTATTGGCCCAGAGGACATTCTCCACACTCAAACTTCCGTCCTGAGAGCAGTCTTCAAAGTAGATCTTGTAGTTGCCCAAGAAGGTGTGGATGTCTTTTTGAGGCAATTCCGCGTACACAACACAGTTTTGTTGGAGTATATCCTACAATAAACATTGCTTAGACTCCATTTTCATCGCTGACGTAAGGTCCTAAAGGTGAAACAAAAAAAAATTTAAAATCTTACCATTTCGTCATTCAAATTTTGAGTGCACGGCATTGCAATCCTCAATTTCCAGTCCGTCTCCCCATCAAGCTGGTCAGTTCGGATGAAGCAAGCGCCACTCTTCTCTGTCGTTCGTACCAAGACCACATCGGCTGGGATTCGACGATCTTTCTCGATTACAATCAAGTCTCCGACCTCGATGTCACTAAAATAAAGCAAATGAAAATAAATTTAGGATGCATTAAAAAATTCAACGAAAAAAGAAAAGTGAAACATACGCGCTTTCCACTTCGATTCGTCCATCTTTAGTCAGTTTTTCATACTTTTCCGAGTTGAGCTCTCGATCTCGAAGGAACCGGACGAAATCATCAAAAGCTTCACGAATCAGTGTTATTGTCAATACGAATCCCTAAAATACGACATCATAAAGTCTTATTATATCTTCTGACATTAAAACCCAGAACAATATTGCCTTTTTTGGACTTCAAATCGACTGATATTACTTTAGGTCATCATAAATAACATCTTCTCTAAAAACCGAACAAACAACGAAAAAAAACTTACCAACGGTCCCCAATAAGTGATCGGAGCGCCAATTTGAATTGCCGGGATAAACTGCGAACAAGCCATTAGCAAAAAATACAAGTTCAAGAAGAATTTGAACTGTTGAAAGAGCACCAACGGAACGAACGTAAAGACATTGTATTTCTGATTGCAAACAACATTTCGCGGAAAACTATGCCCATGCGAGTTCACGGGACCATGACCAATCCTTAATGTTCGGGAATGAAGTGGTCGCCGACGTTGGAACATGCTCAGACAGCACCTAAAATAAGGTAAAATTAGCGAAAAAATATTGGAGCCTTCAAAAAATTTCCTCTCCTATGGTGTTTAAATATCCAAGCGACCTTTTGTAAACACTCCGGACATTAGTCATTCAGTTTCTCCATCTTCTAGCACCTCTCTTCGCTATATTATAGTAGAAAAGAAAAGTTTCTCCAGCGATTTGAAATCCGTTTAAAAACTTAATCCTTAGGACATCTAGGAAATCCCGAAATACAAAAAAAATCTATGTCTTACATCCGGAAATCCGATGTTGTTTTATTAACAATGTAGACCTTGTTTTTCCCCATTTTCGATTCGAAAATGTCGAGAATTTTATAACTTTTATGCTGAAGGTACCATAATCGGATTAGAGGGTGAAGCCACGCGAAATCGCCCAGCTTTTGTAAAAGGAACAAGTCAGAGTAGGTTTTGGAAAGGATGCCCGCTTGTTTTTCCGCGAATTTATAAAATTTCACTTAATAATTTACATGCCCTCTTAAGCTAAATTAGCTGTTTCACCTTTCTACTGCTTTCTCCCGGCTTTTATCTACTTTTCAAGGTCATTTGGCGGCATTTCCGTATTATACTTGATGGCTATAGAAAATTGCTCATAAAGAATTTTGAAAAAGGTTTCTAAAGGGGAAATTATACTCAACAGATTCGCAATGGCGCTGACCAGGTGATACGAACATTAATAACCTGATCAGCAACAAATTGATCGATTTAAATGGTCCTTGACATTTAGCCTTATCTATTATAATCTAAGGCCTCAAACCCGGCAAAAACCGACCTCAACCTCGTAAAACTTGAGCCTAAAATCAAACCAAAGAAGTGAACTCTCACCTGAACATTTTTTGCACCTGGTTGACGAGACTCCGATGGGCAGAGCTGGTGTTATGGTTGGGCAATAAATGCACGTCGTCGTCGATCACAACTTCTCCCATCAGTGGGGTGTTCTCGCCAGGCCAGTCGTCCTCGTCGTCAGCCTGCTGAATCGGGCGATATCGCATACAATTCGGGGACCCGGCCACTTGTGCGTCGGACAAGTCCGGTTTCGGAGTGCGATTTGGAGCCTGCGGACCGCAACTTTCTGCGTTTTCGGGCTGAAATCGAAAAAATGGTGCGAAATTTAATCGAAACACATAAAAATCATCAGAAAAGTCATGAACACCTCCAAAAAGCAGCCGGCTTTTTCCTCGAACGCATGTTATTCATGCTGGAGGGAGAGCTGACCCGAGATGGGGAGAAATGGGTCAAGTGTGGTTTGGGTCAAGAGTTGCTCTCGCTTTTTGCGTGTCAAATGTTTCTCTCGTCGTTTTCTTTTTGTTCTTGGTGATCAATGTTGATTTAGCTCTATCTGGTCGAGAATTTACGCATTTTTGGAAGCTTCTTTTGCTCCAAGTTTTGTCGCATTTGTATGATTTGATTTATTCTATTGCTTTATATATAAATCTTCGGAAAATTTGTAATATCTGGTGCTTTTCTTAACCTATCTCTATAAATTTCTTTTTCAGGAGATGGCCAATAAGATTCCAGAGAACTATCAGCATCTTGAGCCCACCTTCACCACTCCAATTTCGGACTATTTTAGTTTGGTGAGCTCTAGACAAGGTAAGTTAATATTTTTCTGATTTATTCCTTTCATGTTTAGGAGAACCTTGCGGATTCTTCGAGGCCAATTTCTACAAATGTATGGAGGCTTATGGAGCCAAATTGGGAAGAAAATACTGTGATTTGGAGCATCGGGATTACTCCGAATGTATTACTAGAGATAAGCAGGTAATTTGATGTGTTAGAAGCGAATTTGGTGGAAATATTTTTGGATCAAGTGTAATAAAGCTTTTCTTGGCTTTTTATAGGGGCAGGAGATGTTTTATAAGATCTCGGGGGTTGCTTTTGTCAGGGATAATGTAAAATTTATATTGCACTGGATAAAAACTTCCAAATTTTAGTAGAAAAATTGCTTTAGAGATAGAGAAGAGATCCATGAGCAACATTCTAACAAACACTGTGTTTGCTTCATCGTATTTTACCTTCAAATTTTAGGAAAAGCGCTACAAAGCCATCCAAGCGGAGTGGGAAAAGAAGTACAAAGAAGGAAAGATTGACAAGAAATTCTCGGACCACATCCAATACGGCGACTTTAAGCCCGATTACTTCCGTTGGAACCGTATTTGGTAGTTTTGTAATTGTCTAGGCGAAGAAGTTAGTAAATAAATCTTATTAAACTCAAAGGATAATGTAATTTATTGGTAGTACAGCCAAATTTAATGTTGTGAAAGTATCAAAACGGCTCTTAGATTATAGAATACCTCGTTTGCATATTGCATGATCTCAAAAGAGCAATTGGACAAGGTTTTTGGAAAGGAATGGTGTCGAAAATACTGCAAAAAACGGCCAAATTTGTATAACTTCCTGGAAAATCGTGAGATCGAAAAAAGGAAACCTTGTGAGTTTTGATTTGTAAGAAGTTTGACGTCGTTTAGGAGCTTTTTCGAGACGGTCAAAGATGATTTTGAATAAAATTTGGAAGAAATTTAATTGATGGATAAGATAAAGGTATTTGAAATGGCAGAAAACAAAGATTTTATGGTAAAAAAGTTTTCTGAGGTCTTTAAAAGAGTTGTTTTAGTGTCTTCAAACGATTTTTCGTATTTAACCGACCCTGAAACAGAATGCCAAAAGTGGCGGGAATTCAATTTTTTGAAAAAAATTCCCCAAAATTAGAGAAATTTATCAAATTTTCTTACTGTATTTTACCAACCTTGCCGAAAAATGCGGTCAAAATTTAGTCTTTGAAATATTTCCACCCATATGGCAAGTGTAATATAAAATCTATTCGAAATCAATTACAAATCATTGTCATCAGCACTTTTTAGGCACCCAATTTGTCAATGGAGGTCGTGAATTCTATAATTATATCAGAAATTTGGACTTGTCGAACATTGACGGCCGAATTAATGTCACCCCAATCAGGTTCAGTCCGGATGGAAATAAATTGATTTGTATCAACACAGCAAGGCAGGAAGTCTTGATTTATCGATATAATGGAACTGGGAGGATACGAAATCAAAGGATTTCCGCGTTTGAGGTAATTTTTGAGCGAGTTAGGATGAGATATTTGGAGAATAAGTCATCATGAATCGAGAAATAGGAAAAATAGCTAATTTTTTAGTACTGAAATTTGGAAAAAGTTGTTTTGTGAGGTGTAGAAAATATAGTTGGCCACTACGGTCAGATTTTACAAGATTAAATATGTCATAATGACGGATTTTCTGGAGATTTTCGGATTTTGAATTTTCATTGGGTGATGTCACCTGGGGCTTGTCCCACTAACAAAGCGTAGCGCGAATCACGAATTGGAAGCGCGAAAAATCATGCAAAAGCGAGAGAGGTGAGAGAAAAAGCGGGCTCTCTCGGAAATCCGCGCTACGGTTTTTTTGTGGAAAATACCGAAAATTTTTTTCTTTTTTTGCCGTAACTCCTTTCAATGATGTCCGATTTACATGATTTTAAAAACCGTAAACATAGGAGACCCACAGCTTCTAGAAAATGTAAATTTTGTTTGCTTTAACGCGGATTAAGGCTCCCCGCCAAGACGAATTACAATTTCCTTATGGAGAATCATGATTCGAAGTCATATTTTCAAAAAAACTTATCATTAGCTATTTATCGTAACTTCCACAGCTCATATGCGAATTTATCAACCCGAGTTGCCCCTTCCAAGCCCAATGTTTGGTCTCCTCTTGTCATAATTTGCTCGGTGACAAAAAGGTTTGTTAGGGAAAAAAAAATTATAGATAAATTCTCCACTCATTCCTCAGAGACGTTGAAACAAACTATTCAAGCCAAACTACCCCTCTTACACCCAATTTTAGTCACCCCTTGTCATAATTCGTTTTATAACAAAAAAGTTGCTTTCATATGGCAAGGGGAGACCAAAAATTGGGCTTGGGAGTGGCAGCTCGGGTTGATAAATTTGCATATAAGCTTTGGGAGTTACGATAAATAGCTAAGGATAAGTTTTTTTTGAAAATATGACTTCGAATCATGATTTTCCATGAGGAAATTGTAATTCGTCTTGGCGGGGAGCCTTAATCCGCGTTAAAGCAAACAAAATTTACATTTTCTAGAAGCTGTGGGTCTCCTATGTTCACGGTTTTTAAAATCATGTAAATCGGACATCATTGAAAGGAGTTACGGCAAAAAAGTAAAAAATTTTCGGTATTTTGCACAAAAAAACCGTAGCGCGGATTTCCGAGAGAGCCCGCTTTTTCTCTCACCTCTCTCGCTTTTGCATGATTTTTCGCGCTTCCAATTCGTGATTCGCGCTACGCTTTGTTAGTGGGACAGGCCCCTGGTTATAAAAAAAACAAGATACATGTTTTATACTATCTAATGACGTATTTTTTTATAATTTTATATGTCATCATGACATACTTTCCGGAATTTTTACACATTTTGAGATTTAAAAATTTCATCGTATAACTTGTCACTCCTTGACTAAGATACCCCAAATATTTGTTTCAGGACCTCTTTACTCATCAGTTCACCCTCCAACTCCATCAAATCGAACGTGGCGCATCCATGGTCCGAGATATTACCCTACTTCCAGAAAATGGGTCCCATTTGATACTTTCATATTTTGTCCCTTTGCCAGAAAATGCTGCGATCTTACACAGAATGATACGAAATAATGAGAGTGAATTCCCGAGAAGCACTATCGAACATACAGTCTATCTTATTGTTGATATGAAAGTAAGGATTTTTGAGATTTTTTGATTTTTTTTTGAAATTGATTTTATGAAAAAAGTTTATGTTTTGACTTGTATGTATTGTAGAGTATAGAAACGTTTAGTTTATTCAATTTTCAGACCGGTCAAATCACGGCGACGCTCAGGTTTGACTTCGAAAATCACACAGGACACTGTGTGTACTCTGTTGATAGAATGATTGGAATTTTGTCTTCCCAGCACCAAACAATTTACATTCATCGCCTGGAAAATGACGGAAAATTGATCTTGCTTCGGGAAATTGGTCGGACATTGTATGAGGACGACCATTTGATGATCAAATCTTCGGTGAATCCGATCTCCGAAAAGGTGTTCATGGGTAAGGTAAAATTGAAAATTTTAGTGCGATACATACCTAAAAATCTTTTTAATACAGAAATCTAAGGCTTTCATGACCTATGAGACATTTTTCGACCTTTTTTACCTTATTTTTTGAATCCCCGCCATTTTTGGCATTCTGTTGCAAGAGCCGAAAACTTGCAAAACCCCTTCAAATTGAGATATTTGTAGTAAAATGGACTGGGTAATGAATGATTCATCTAAAATTTTGAGTCTTTTAGGCCTTTGCGATATTATCCATGACATTTTTGATATCAAAACTTTCGATTGTAGGTTTCCGCCAGAAGCTTTTGGCCTTCCTCTACAAAGAACACCAACGATTCGGCCGTTCGTTGGAATTTCTCCGATATTTCAACTACTATCGTAACCTTCGGATGTCAAAGTTTCAATTTTTGGGAGCGGATCGTCTCCTGATCCGAGTCGATGCCAACATAACTGGCTCGATCGGCGGCGATCAGGAACTCTATGCCCGCCGAGCAAGTCGAGCCGAGCCTCCAAATCTCCATTATATGTTCGTTATCTACGAATGGAAGGAGCCGAAAATCCTGGGTTGTTTTAATCGCTCGTCGACGACCCTGTTTAACACAATGTTGGAGAATTACGAGACGTTTAAGAATGGAAGTGTAACGAAAACATATTTTCCAACAACTATGGAGCATTGTAAATTCTTGAAGGACAAACAGAACCACGCTTTTCAACAGTACATGACTGCAAAAGGTGAGTTGAGCCGATTAATGTCTAAAATAATGTCCAGGACATCGATGTGAGGTGGTAAAACGACTGCTAAGTGTGTTGCCCTTCTCAATACAGTCCAGTTATGTGTCGTCGATATTTTTGGACCCGTTTGAGTTCAGTTATGACGACCGGATCAACGCGATTTTGGAGAAAGCCAGGGCGCAGCCCGAAATGACGTTACGGTAAGAATTTTTTATACCAGAATGCTGTAAAATACGTTGGATCGTTTCTTAGAAGTTTTGTTTTTTATGTTTTGCAAAAAAATTCTAACGATTGACTGCATACGGGCTACAGTAAGCCGATCTTTACAGAATTGTGAACAGAAAGACGGGCGACCGCGTGGTCGACATTGAGCTCACAAATCTCCCAATTGAAATGGTCAACGAGCAAAAACCGGTCCTCAGAATCCTATTCCACCCGTATGAACCGCTGATCATGCTCACGGACAGGTATTGCACCGACTCCAGACTTTTTATCTTCACTTTGCCTTTTGATCAAGAATAAGTTATTTAAAAAATTTTTTGTTGTAGGATTTTATTGTAAATTGACTGTAAGTAGCTCGTAAATTATTTTTGTTGGCCATAAATGTATAAAATACGGTCTCTTTTGTCATTGTTTGAATAGTTTTATCGTAGGGAGAAAGAGTTGACTCGACAAGGGTAGACTTGACCCAAAAGGAATATTTTTTGGAAAATAAAATCAGGAATCAAGGAAAAGATCTTTTCACATTTTTTTCCAACCGAAGGATAACTTTCTCTTGTGAGCTCTTTTTGTTCACCTGCATGTCCGCCAACGAACGGCTTCTAGCTGCGTTCACAGCTCAAATTGGACTGAAAGACAACAAAAAGTTGCTGAAAGTAGAATCTGATGTGAAGAAGACGATCGAAGAACTTCTCGAAGGTTTGAGAGAAGAAGAAGATCTCAAAGCCCTTCTCCGCGTATTGGCATTGGAGCAGAGAAAGTTGATTGTTTCCTTGAATACTTGTTGTTTTAGAGATCAGTATTGCCAAAGATGGATTGAGCCATGTGAAGAGAGAAAATCAAGAGGAATACGTCAAGAATATCAAGAATACTGCTGTGTTGAAGGATGAAGAGAGGAAAAAGGTAAGAGATCGACGACAATTTAACAATTTTCTATGTTTTAGGTCTCTACCCAAAAAGCTGTGGAAGACGTCAAAGAAGCGAAGGAGGGAACATCTGCAGGTCCTCCGCAAAAACAAAAGGACGAGCCTAAAGTGCAGGTAAATCACCAGGTTTTAATATTATGACTCTCAATTTAGGCATCAACTACCGACAAGAAGAAGGCTCCTGAAAAAATCACAGTGCCAAATGGAGAACCTGCCAAAGCGCAATCCTCAAAAATCACGGTAAGAAGTTATAAATTTATATTTCTGTGTTTAGGTATCGAATAAAGGGACGAAGAACCTTGGTCAAGAAAATTCTAGCAAGACAACAAAGGGTGTGAAGAGTAGCAAGTACAATGTCGCGTATCGACAACCAATTTTCCCTGTTTGTATGCCAAAAGCCAAGAAATTCCTGCCCGAGAGTGCCAAAGATACCGAATGGTTTTTAGTGACTGTTGGCAACCAAGCCGTACCTGTGCCTAAAAACAAAACGTTTGAGGTCATATCTGTAAGTCTTTTGGTGTTTTTATCAAAAGCTCATTTCACAGTTTTTATCGCGTATACCGTTTATTTTACTTTATTCAGTTCAACCATGGTGGCAGCAGAGGGCTTTTCGAATACCTTTACGCTGTGTTCGGCAAGCGGGAAACCACAACCAACCTTGTGGTTGCCTCCGATCCGGGCTGGTTTTTTAACGGAAAGGAGGACGGCGATGGATACGAAGAGACGGCCAAGGCGTTCATTGATTTCTCGGATAGTTTCCATCACCCGCCGCGTTTGAATGTTTATTTTCTTGGGTTTCCCGTAAATCCAACCGATGTTGAATTCGATGGTCGATTGGGAAGATTCAACGCATTGACGGCTCGATTGTTTGAGGAGACCGGTCAGTACGTTAGCTTGGCGAAATTCATTCCAAAAAACGTCAAAAAAAGGGGATTTAGCGAGGCCAAACAAGGACGCTCCGACTTTGTTGAACAGTGAGTTGAATGCGCACCTTCTTCAAGAAGCCATGGAATATCTAATCACAAAGAAAAACAACATTCCTAAAAAAGATGGAAAACAAAAATTAGAGGTCTCTGAAATTGCAAAAACATCAAAAAGTCCTGAAGTTGAAACCATCAGACCAAACTGTGACGCTGATAAGCCAACATCATCGACTGCTGGTCAGCCGGTGAAGGAAGAAACTGTGAAAAAGAAGACCAAAAAAGGCAAGAAACAAAGAGCCGCGGAAAAACGAAACAATGCCGACAAATCGGTTCCAGTTCAACAAAATCCTCAAAGCAGCAACAACACCGAAGATGCTGATGAATTTTATGAAGCAACGTTGACGTCAGAAACGATCCAAAAATTGCAACTCGTCTTACATACAGATGCGATATTGGGGGCCGATCTTTTAGACGTTGTGGAAACAATGGACACTTTCGAAGGGGCCGCACGATTCAAGTTCGAATTCATCAAGAAGAACAAGAACGAAGTGTTCCAGTCCAGGAAGGCGTTTTACCACATGTTCGTGATGACCAAAGAAATCTTCAGCGATATCAATAAAACGCTGAGCGACGATTACTTACTTGGATTCGAGGTCTTGACAGCAGTTCAAGCTCAATTATGTCATATCGACCTGGACACTTTGGGAAAATGGTTCAAAGACGGTATACGCGATACGCCACATCTTAAGATATTATTGTCACAGGAGAACCGAATCGCTGGAATGTTCTATCTGATTACAATGCACGCAATTTTCGCATTGAAAACTACACGCCTTCCATATGGTGGCAACCGAATCGTTGTACGGAACGCGCATGAGTCAGAAATTGTGTGGAAGCTGAAGAAAAGGATAGCCAAATTGATGGACCTAGTCCAACCGGTCGACTGTCAAGTCTTTGCCAAGAATTTCCGGCATCTGAGGAGGACGGAAACGGCTATTATCGAGGTCACGATCCGTGTTTTGCAACATTTCGACCCTTCATTTGATGCTGATGTCACGGACAACTGCCGATTGGGCGCATCCATTAAGTCGACCGCAATTCACGTTCTTTCCAGCCGTTCTGTCGGAGAGATCGTCAATGCCTATCGGACGGACGCACTTGGACCATCTATATGCAAAGAAAGTGAAGACAGGTTAGGTGGGGATGACGCGGATGTGGATTTGGACTTTATTCTTTGTGACAATTTCCTGAATACTATAGAAAAGATAGCATTGAGCGAGTTTGAGACTGAAGATCAAAACAAGGATACTGGTCGGTCAACGTCGTCACGAGGAGAATCCGCGGGTTCTAGACGGTCAACTGGAGCGGATTCACTGACACCTTCTTCGCCATCACAAGCCGCAGGACCCTCCGGCATACGAAGAGGATTTTTGTTGAGTGGAGTGGTCGACAAGCCCCAGGAAGTGAATAAAGGGGGATGCTCACTTATGTAATCTAATCCATGATGTCTACGGGAATCAAATCAAAATCGCCTTAAGTTTTTTGTCTAAATTCGGATTACTGGTCAAAATAAACTTTATTGTATAGAAACTTACACCGAAAAGGCTCTTCGAATACTGTAATTTTGTGGTTTATCGTTATTTTGTGCGTCCCGAAACAGGAAATTGCAATACCAAAAAATATTGGCATTCTGTTGCAAGTAGAAAATTTATTTACGGAATATAATTTGTTGCACCGAAAAAGGTATTTTGACCGCTAAATTGTCAAAACCCAACAAGGGATTGGATGTAAATGCAAAGAATTCGAGTTCTGACCTTATTCAAGAAGATCTTGCGGACTGGACGCAATTGGGAAGCGAAAATCCCGGAGAAAACCACCGAAGAGCGGAAGTATATCAGAGAAGAAGCCTTCAGCAAGTTCAAAGAGAACAAAGAAGTAAGTTCTATACTTTTTTACTAGTTAGTTTTCAATTTAGGTGAAGGATCCAGAAAAAATCAAGAATTTGATAGAAGAAGCAGAAAAACGATTGGAAATAGGTATACATTATCGGTTACCCTACGAAAGACCTGTGTATTTGCATCCTGGAGCATCGTACGGTATGTGTTAGTACTTTTATTTGCTTTAAATTTTAGGAATTGAATGAATTTTGAAATTTATTTTCCGTGTCGACGTCATGGATAATATGGGGGGTTTTCAGATGTCCACGTTGAGTCAAAACAGTTCAAAATTCGTTCCGGAGCAGCATCAAAGCTGCCTTTCGGTGGAGGAAAACGGCGGACTTGATCGGGAAGATGTTCGAAAGCTCGAGCGCCTTTATTCAGCATGTTCTCCATTAATATTTGATCAAGATTTGAGCCCAATTGTCAATTTAGCTCCTGAAGAACTAGAAGCATTGTTTGAGAATATCAGCCATCCAATGAAAGGGTCGTATCAGAAGAGATTCTTTAAGATTTTATCGGAAAAAGTGAGAATTTATCGAAATTTTTTGTTATACTTGATGGAAGTTTCTGATTTTGGTATTTTCAGTTGGCCGAAAGGGACATATACTCGGATAATGTTTTCTATTGCCTAGCTAATGCCATGCAACATACGTCGGATACGTTTTACAGATTTTATAACAGTAAGAAGTTGAGGAATCCAATAATAATTGAGGAGAGGAATCAAGCGATTAGTCAAGGAACTACCGGCCTCAGCACTTGGAGTGTGAGCTTTTTGCTTTTTATTTGAGTTTTAGGGAATATTCAGAACTTTGAGAGAAATATCAACGATATCGACCCATTTGAACAGAAATTTTTACATTACTTTAGGTAGTGTAATATAATTTGACATAGAATTTGAGCCTAAATTTATTTTTCAGGCCGCATATCTCCTCTCAAATTACCTGCTACAACTTCAAAACGATCTTCAAGCCTCTGCGGATTCGAATCGCGAATTTCGAATCCTCGAGCTGGGCGCAGGCTGCGGATTGGCCGGAATTGCCGTAGCCTCTCATTTCCCAAATATTCGGCTCACAACGACAGATTGTGATGAAAACGTTCTCCAGCAGCTGAAAGCGAACGTCAAAAATAATTTTGGCGAAGAAAATTTTATCCACGAGGTCAGAGAATTGGATTGGCTAAAAACTAGCGAAAATGATGTAATAAATGAAAAATTCGGTATGATCATAGCTGCTGGTGAGTTTTAGAACTTCTTGAATCTAATTTTACCTATGGTTCTGTATATTTTGCTTTATTTTAGATGTTATTTACGACCCGGAGCTCCTCGAAGCCTTTTTGAATACCGTAACCTTGGTCCTGCGACGAAATAGTGAAGCAAAAGCCATATTAGCCTTCAAGGAACGAAATCCAGACACTTTTAAATTATTCATGGACACTTTAGGTACGTTTCTAATTTTATGTAAATTTTTTGGACATCCCAAAAAAATTTGAATAATTAATTTTGTTTCAGCAAGATCGAAGCTGGAGGTGACTATGAAAGCCAGAACAAGTTCGACAGATCCATTCGAGACCAAGATCTTAACAGGAAATGGGGAAAGGGTCATGGATAATATACTGCCTCCGGACGAATTGCTCAATAATTTCTGGATCTTCGAAATGAGGCTAAAGGAAGAAAATAGAAGCTGAAATTTGAATTTAGGAATTGTTTTTGAATACATATTTTTTCAACTTGTTATTTGTTGACTTTGATTTTTAGGTATTTTGATGAAATAAATGAAAAAGTAAAAAGATATTCAAATTTTTGTTGAAAATTTCGGTGAAAACTTTGTTTTTTGTGGCTCTCTAGGGCTGGCTTTTGGGGTTCTGGACGAATTTTTGATAATCTTACACAAATTTTTTAAAAATTTTCAATATTTTTTACAATTATTTTTGATAAATTATATTCATAATTATGCCCTGAAATGATTTTTTGCCCTTAATTTTTTTTTGGCCAATCCAAAATTTAAATTTTTATTCAAATTTTTTCCTAATTTCGTCAAAAATTCCCAGACTTTTCGTATTCCAAAATTAAAGTCTTTTTTCAATTTTTTCCCAATTTTTTCAAAAATTCCAAGACCAAGATTGCCAGTAAATCAGCCGAGATTTCTGTTTACCACCCCTCCCCATCCGTTATAAATACTCATAAGGAAGTGGGGCGTTGTAAACAAGTGCAAAGCCCGCGAGAAGAGAGAAACTGGTTGGTCCCTTATTCCTGGAATTACTCTTGATTGTGATAGAAGTACAGAAAGGTTTCCCCCGCTGATCAGCCAAAAAAAAAACTGTTTTCTTTGGCTGCCACAAAAAATACGAACTTCCTGGATTTTTTTTGGGTTTTTTTTTTGTTTCTAAACTTTACTATTTTTTCACTGGGCAATTAAAAAAAATTAATTCGGAATTCAGTAAAAAATTTTTTTTTAACTTTTTTTCCTAGGGCATAAAAAAGATTTCCCCATCAACTGGGCGTAGCCTATCCCCCGTTCCAAACCCATTTTTATTTCTTTTGTTGCGTCACATTCGCTTCGATTACTCGGAATTACTCCACTTTCGTTTCATTTTTTTACGAACCAACGTGAGACGAATGGACTGCTACTAACAATGTAGCTTTTCAATTTTTGTATTGTTTTGTTTTCATTTTTTTTTCAGTGCTGTGTTTTCATTTTTTATTGCACAGTGTGTTCTGAAAAAAAGTGTTTTTGCACAGTGCAGTTACGTCAAAATTTTTGTCGACGATTTCTGACCGATAAATTTTTTTTGCACTGTGCAACCGATATAAATTTTTTGCACGGTGCGGAGAAATTTCTGTTTTTTGCACTGTGCATCTCAAACTTTTTTTGCACTGTGCGTCTGCAAACTTTTTCTTTTTTTGCACCGTGCGATTCCAACTTTTGGTCTGCACTGTGCAGCCCATAAAATTTTTTTGCACGGTGCGGCAAGTTTTTTGATTTTTGCACTGTGCGATTCCACTTTTAATGTATAGTCTGCACCGTGCAGCCCATAATTTTTTTTCGCACTGTGCAGCCGATATAAATTTTTTGCACGGTGCGGAATAACTTTTTCCTTTTTTTGCACTGTGCAACTCCACTTTTAATTTGCACTGTGCATTCGCAAAATCAATTTTTTTTTTCACGTTTGCATTGTGCGATTAAATCATTCCTTTTTCGCACCGTGCAGTTTGATTTTTTTGTTTTTTTGCACAGTGCAATCGCAAAAATATTTTTCTGTTGATTTTCGCACTGTGCGATTAAATCATTCATTTTTCGCACCGTGCAATAAAAAACTGCCTTTTCCATGAATTCCCCGAGTAATTTTCGCTTCCAATAATGGAAATAAAAGCATAAAAAGACGGAAGTTTTGTCGTATACGACGATTACCGCACCATACCGAGAACTCATCGATCCAATGAGTAATCGGAGGGAAAAAATAAACAAAAATTTTTTTTATAAAAAAAATATTTTTTTTACTTTTACGGTTATCCACAATTGCTTTCGTAGGAAGCGGGTTAATTAATGAGTTTCCCCACTTTTTTTACGACCTCAGGACAATAAACGCAAATAAAACACAGTTCCCAACGCCCACGGAGATTGGGCGCACGAGTTTTTGCGACAAAATTTACACTACCGCTTTCCGGAGACATTGTAAAAACTCCCGTGAAATTGGAAGAGGGGTTATAGTGGAAGTTGTATACTGGCGGGTATGGTAGCACTTTTGGCTGATGTATTTATTCGATTTTTGATTTTTTTTTTAAATTTGGAGATTTTTTTAAATTGTACTTTTTTGGGGGTACCCTGTGGGCCAAAAGGTATTAAAATTTCTACTTAAAATCTCTAAGGGTTATAGATCAATTTCAGAGAATTTTAGCTCATTCATCGCAAGAGGAAACGAGATATGTTTTAAAAAATGTTTTTGATGAAATAGCATATAAAATGAGGAGAGTCAGCAGTAAAAAAAGTTGTTTGTTGCCAAAATATTGTCTGGATTTTTTGAGCTATAAATCTCGGTAGTTTCTGCGAACGAAAAATGTCATATATGTTTTAGAAAGAATTGAGATTTACGCCAAATTTTATTTTATCTTTTCAATGGTACTGCTCAAAAAACAGCCAACGTAGTTTACCATTTCCCTCTATTTATAATACCTTTTTTAAACTTAAAAATATTTTGAAACTTGAGGGTCATTTTTTTTTATTTCAAGTTTCTTTTTTTTGTTATTTTCTCCGCCTGAAGTCCGTAGGTTTAACAGTTTTAAAGTGGTTGATGATTCCCGTTTTCTCGTCATTTCCGATTCATAATTTATCTGCAAAATTTGACGGGGCTTTTATTGGGAAGTACCCCAGGTTCGACGCTCAGATTTTGATGAATCTTGGCACAAATATAGAATAATTTTTTCCAAAATATATGCGATAATCCTAGCTCGCGCTTTCCAGAAACCACCGAGATTTTTTGGTCGAAAGGCGACGGAAATTTAAGACTTTTTTTCGAATTTCGGCACGAAAATTTCCACGGCTGTTTCTACCAAAGAGGGTAATGTTTCCACAAAAAATGAATTTTTTGGGCACAAAACTAGCGAAGTTATGGGTAAAAAGTGTTTTTCCCTCTGACCGCTCTCCGCGTTTAGCGTACTCTCTCGGCCGCAAAGGTCGTTGAATATATCGGCTTCGCGTTCAAAGCGCGAGCTAAAACTTTGAGAAATTGGTACTTAGTCTGTGCCCCAAGTGTGTGCCAAATTAAAAAAAAAATCAGAGCGTCGCATTCAAGGCCCCAAACTTGGGGTACTTCCCTTATAATTTGTTTTTTGTTTGGTTTTTCCTTTATTAGACGTATTTTTTACTTATTTTCGAAAGAAATTATTATTTTTTTCAGCGTATTTTAGCAAAAATTTTTTTTTCTAAAAAAAATTATTTTGATTTTTTTTTGAGAATGCCCTATAAATTCCACCCGGTCATGATCCACATACTTTGACATAATTAATAAAAGCATTCCATAATTTATTGGGTTTCCTTATGACTTCATTGTCATCGATTTGATGACAAAGGCAAGAAAACCCCGTCATAAAAATTCCACAGCGAGTTTTTTTGATTGCAAATATTTTTATTAATATTGTTATTGGACCAAAATTGTTTTGACCGATTTTTGATGAGAAAATATTGCTGGAATTTTGCTGAAAAATAAAGAAAAAAATTTTTCAAAAAAAAAAAAAAAAATGTAAAAAAAATAGAATTTTTTTGGGGAAAACATCTCGATTATTTCTAAAAATAAAAAGCTAAAAATTTTGTACGAAATTTTTGTCTTAATTTTCACCTTACTTAATTAAAAACAAAAAAAAAATTTCCATCTTTTTTCCAAAAAAATCTCATTTTTTATAAAATAAAAAAACCCCCAAATAACATTTAGGTATTGTTCAAGCTCCATACATCATAATCTTCCCTTATTCGGCTTTTTTTCTCGTTAAAATTTTTTTGGTTTTTGGAACCGTTTTTTTGGTCGAAAAATCCTCGAAACCTCGAGGAATCCGTCGATAATTCCGCGGGGAAAAGGGTGGATAATCGCTGACATTCCTTGTCTGCTCTTCAGTTGTCTAAAGTAGTTATAGTAGAAATTGAGGAACGTTTTTGGGGGTGGTTGGACCGAATTTGTCTCAGCTGAGATTTTGAGCGATATTCTGTGAGAGAGTGCGCGAAACGCGGAGAGCGGTCAGAGGAAAACATCTTTTGGCTGTATCTTTGCTATTTTTGTGCAGAAAAAAATGATTTTTTGTGGAAAGAGTATCCTCTAGGGTAGAAATGGGCATGCAAATTTTCATGCCAAAATTCGCAAAAAAATTTCAAATTTTTGCCAACTTTCGATTAAAAAATTTCAGTTGTTTCTGCAAAGCGCAAGCTAGAAATCTCACATATGTTTTATAATAGCTTAACCTAAATTTGGGCCAAGTTTCATCAAGTTTTTGGTCCTCAAAAAACCCCCATTCCCGCCTGTTATGCCATGTCTGGTGTAGTGTAAACCAGCCTGTGTTGATAAACTTTTTTTCCCAATTTTAAACACCCTTTCCAAGAAGATTTTTTTTTGCGTTTAAAAACCCCCTTTCGTTTTCAACTACTCTCCAAAAAATCACGGAAGAAAATTTGCGTGGGCCGAAACGGTGGTTTCTTTGATCGAACGTTTAATTCCATCGATGGATTCACCAGCGAGATGTTCATTTTTATCAAAAAAATTGTTTTGAGGATTGAGGATTTAGTAAAAATTGTTTCTTCCGCAAAATTTCCGAGTTTCATCGACGAATTCCATCGATGGATTTTTCGTTTCATCGATGAAAAATTCATTTTTTAATTAAAAAAATAATTTTTGTTTCAAAAAATTTATTTTTGAATAAATTCATCGACGAATTCCGTTGATGAATTTCATTTTTCATCGACGAAATTATAAAAAATTTTTTGTTCTTTGGATTTCCAACGTTAAGACAATCCTGCGCACGACAAAAAAAAATTTTTAACGCAAAAAAAAAAAAAAAATTTTATTGTCTAGTCGTTGTTGTTGATCATTTTTGAGATTGAGATGAGGAAGAGTCGGAGGAAAATGAAAAAAAATGTTTCGGGGGTTCCTTCGAGGTTCAATGTCTGGTTTACTTTGTTTCTTGATTTTTTTGGGCTTGTCAA